GAGAGAAACTACCATTTGCTGGATGTCTCCTCTAGCCACGTGCTGGTCACTGGACATCCACGATCTCATCACATCTTCACAACATCTGTACCTTTGGGTTGATGGTTACAACTCTCACTCTGCAGATGTGGTCAGTGAGGCTTAGTAAGGGGAATTGGCAGGTCCAAAGCTAAAAGCCTTGACCAAACCCAGGTGCTCTTTTTGAGAGGCCTCGTGTCTGCCTTGTTCTTATATCGTAAGTGCTGTAGAACTGGAAGGATACCTGGCACTCGAACTACACACCATCTGGCAGGAACGATTGGCGTGGTTTGTTTTGCCGCGGTGGAGCCGCCTTGAGCATTGTCGCATCTTTATGAAAGGCCATTTGCCCCTGACTTGTGACTTGGCAGAACTCAGCACAAGGGCCTGAAGTCATCTTCTGGCTTCCTCCCACAAGACAGATCCCGGAGGCTCATTAGTGCTTGTTTTCACAGCACCTCCAGCTATCTCTGTCTGCGGTGGCTGCAAACCCACTTCTTCCTGCATTTAACCCTCCCTGCTCCATGGGAAGACTAAAAGACAGGACAGGGCCTTTGATTGGGAGTCAGGAGCCCTTCACTCTGAACCCAGCTCTGCTGCTTATCTCCTGTGGGATGTGGGACCAGAGTCCTAGTCTCTCTGGGTTCTGTTTTCCCACTGACAACCAGGATCTCTGTTAACGTAGCATCTAATGGCCCTTTCAGTCCAGCTTTCTGAAATCTCAAGGTGAGGGCTACTCTTAAGGTTGCTATCATCCTGACCTTGTAGAACATAGTCCTTTCAACCACCCTGGGCAATCTCTCTTTCTCCCTCTCTCTCTCCTCTGCACAACTGGCCAGAAGGGCTTCACTGGCACATCTTACTTTTTAGCCTTCCAAACCAAGCCAAAGACAGGTCTATGATCTTTCAAGAAGAGGCTAAAGCTTGGGAAGACAATTTACAAACCTCATGCATATGAAAGCTTCAATCTTCAGAGGAATTCACGGAGTGCTTGAGTTGCCTAAAAGGTAGAATGCCCCACAGAAGCAGTATGGAGCCCTGGGCTCCCTCTGGCCCTGCCTCTGCCACTAACTCAAGGGGTGACCCAGGAGCAGCCTGCCTTAGGGGTAATACTGGGGAGCACGTGAATTACGTGTTTACCAAGATTGAACCAGGTGATCTCCCAGGTAACTTCCATTTCTAAAAACCATGCAAATTCTTACAGACCAGACTATTCATAACTTAGATCGTCCCTGGAGCTAAAATATTCTGCTCTACCACTGCACGTGTCTGAAAATCTGAATGTGTAAAGACACAGTCTCCTATCTCAGGTAAGGCAACGTGCCCACAAAGACAGACAGTTGGAGCTGGGACTTACTCCCCCCAGCTCCCCGAGCAGGTCAGGCAGTGAACAGCTGAGTTTGAACAGCCTGCTAGAATAAGCTAGAAGGGTCCTTCTAGATCATGACATCCACACTGCTCTTCATCTAGATAGGGATACTAGAGCCCAGAGAGGGGAAATCGCTGGATTCTAACTCCCAGCCATCAACTCTGCCACGACTTGCAGACAGTTCTCATTTCCCCCACGCTGGTGTTCTGTTCTTCAAGCTAAACCCCTCCAGACATCACAATCAACTGAAAAAACATGTTTCACTCCTTATGCTCCCAGCCTTCAAAATTCCAGGGACATTGCAGGATTTCTGCTGCATGTGGTACTATCTATTTATAAGTCATTTTCTGTCTTCACAGCAAAATGAAAATTATATCATAGACTCACAGGGTGATGGGGAGACCCAAGCCACATGGCTTGATGACCCATGAAATGTTCATTTAGCTCTTGACAAGAGCCTCATGACCTCCAAAGCAGTCTACTCATGTTTGAGCAGCACAGACTGGTCAGATATTTGAGCCGCCAGCTCTGTGACTTACAGTGAGACTTGGGTGTCCTCACTGTAGGTCTTTCTATTGCTGCACCTGAGAAATGGGGATGACAGCAGTGTTAGCTGTTAGCGGAGGGCTTCATCTCCTTCCACTGCCACGTGGAGCCTTATTGCCTGGCCCCACAGAGCAGGCTGCACTGTCTTCCTGCTGACAGCCTTGACAAAAGTTAAAGGACAGAGATTGTGCCCTCCTCTGGGGTCTTCTCCAAGTTCAACAGCCCATCCCCTAATAGCTCCTGCAGTGTTGTGCTCCCAGCCCCTCTCCGAACTGGCTCTGGCAACGTCCTTCTGAAAAGGTGCTACCCATGTTTTCTCTTTAGCACAAAACCGTCTTAAAGATTCTTCAAGAAAAACTAAAATGCTATGCCATTTGACTTCAGGAAATGCAAATGATTCAAAATAAGTTGTTGTTTTTTTTCCATCCTCGGGTTTCTCAGAATTACAGCTGAGGTCACCCCACTAAACATGTGAAGACCAAAGGGGAAAAACAACAAAAGAAACTGCATGTGTGAGAGGCAAGCCTGGGCTTGCACTTCTACAGCCACCTGTTTACAGAAGCGCACCTTCTGTAGGTGCAGCAGCAAGAGGCCTGGCGTGAGGGGCTCCCGGCCACCAGGCTCTGCGCGTGATCCACTGGACTCAGCCCAGGGCATAAGTCTTATCTTCCCATCTAATCTAACCTGATCTGCCATGAGAGAAAGAGCCCTGTGTTATTCCAGCCCCGACGCAAAAGACAAGCCAGCCATCCCCATTCACCTCGCCCGTGCCCTGGTATTGCACTGGTATCCGCAGAGGGAAATGGGAGAGCGGGACCAGATGATTCAATTCAACAAACATGTACAGAGCATCTTCCGGGCTGGGCAGTGGGGGTGTATAAACAGTCATATCTGCCCTGTGGGTTCATAGTTTAATAGGGAAGGCAAATAAACAAAGGGAAGGGTCAAAGGTGTCCTGGAGGAGATGACTGCCAGCCTGTGGATCCCAGGTAGAGGGAACAGCAGGTGCTGAGGTGGAATGACAAATCACCATGGTGCACGGGGGCACCGCAGCCCCAAACTGCAGTAGCGTGATCAGCAATACCCACTGACGAGCTGTGTGGATGCAATCCAGTCACTTCATCTTTTAAAGCTTCAGTCTCCTTAAGTACAAGACAGAAATAATTATAGTACCTCTCTCAGGGAGGGGTTGTGAGAATTAAGTAAAATAATGCATGTAACATGCTTAGAGTACCTAGAAAATAACCATCGCTTGACATGTACTAGTTACTAATATTATTTTCACTGCTACTATGATTATTACTATTGGGACATAGAGGGAAAGGGTGGGGAGGGAAGGGTAGGGATGAGACCAGAGAGTTCAGTAGGTCGTCAGAATGCAGGCGACCTGGAATGCCATGCTGAGCAGCTTGGACCTGGTCCTGCAGGCAAAGGAAGTCAGACAGAGCTTCCAAGCAAAGAGAGTCAGCCAGACCTGTCTCCCTGACTTGATGTTCTACAGCCCATAAAAAGAGGTTGGGCCAGGGGGACTCCCTAATGATAGTCACAGTCCACTGGGGTCAAAAGCATCCCTCGGTGTTGTGGTTCTGACTCTGCACACCCTAAGAGTGTGGGCCATGGGATGCAGCAGTCAGGACCACAGCACCATGTGGAGGATGAGTGAGGATGTGCTCAACAGAATGGCAGCTGGCCCACCAGCCCTCGCCACCAGGGGGAGCTTTGGACCAGAAGCTCTTTGTGGATGAGAGCAGATGAGGATGAAAACTGCCCCCCTGCTTCTGCTGGGGGTACCTCTCGCAGTGAGCGTGTTCAGACAGCAGAGGGAACTCTTCACTTAACTTTCAACCACTCCAAGGCTCCTCCTTGGAGCTGTGACGATGGCCAGGAGGACTTTCTCAGGCCTGGGCAGAGAGGGCAATGGGAAGATTGTGAGCCCAGCAGATCTTACTTGAAGATGCAGTTAGCAAATACATCCCAGTGTGGGCGCTCCACTGAAGGGGCCTAAGGCTACCTGGTCTCTGATGGTGGACTGAATGGTCATCTCTGGTGACATCATTGAAAAAACGTCCATGTCAGGTCAGAGATCTCCCAGTTTTATAGGGAGGGAAACCAAGACTCAAAGAAGAGAAGGTATTTGGTCCAAATAAGTTGAATTCATGAGTCATTGCAGGAAATGTATACCTTGGTTCTTTACATACAGAATGGTTACTGTAATGAGAAAAAGCTAAGCCACCATCACCGGTGAATATATGAAAAATACTTCTATTTCTTGGATACCGTAAAGACATAAATGTTGTGTTTGCTGCTGCCAAGGAAGCTTCAGATAGCAGGCCTCCTGCTCAGATATCTTTAATCTTATGTCCTCTTAAAATTGAGCACAAAGATATTTTTATCTCGTTGTCTAGCAAAATGGCCTAGAGGAGCAAACCTGGCCTCTAAAATCAGACAGACAGGCAATCCCAGCATTTCCACAAACGTGCTTGACCTTGAGTGATGGTATTGGCCATCACTAGGCATTAGGGTTAACCATAAAGGGTTAGTCTGAGAACTAGATTAGCTGATAGAGGTAAAAATACACAGACTAGTATCTGGTGCACAGCATGTAGGATAGCAATGATTGCTATCAGTTTTATCATGCTGACTACCACGGCCTGCCTGAGTGACATGGGACAATGTATTTAAGGTGTCTTGTCCCCTCTTGTCCCCAAGTTCTTTCTCATCTGTAAAAGGGACTTAATAATACCACTCTCATACTGCAAAGATTAAGAGAGGTGCCAGGAATGGCACCTGGCACACATTATAGGAACTCAGGTCATATTTGTTTTCTTCCCTGACTGCCACAGTCTTCTATAAAAGCCTAAGTGGAAGCAATCAATACAAAATAAATTTTAAAAAAATTAAAACCCTAATATACCTGATGGCAAAATGAGAAATAAAGAGCTTTTCCTTTTATTCTCAAAATAGAAGCAAAATAGTAATTGTCTCTATCAAAGGTCGTGGAAAGATCTGGTGTCTCCAGTTTGCAGAACAGCAAAAGACATTTAACATGTAATCTCCTTACATTTAGGAAATTGCTCAGAGGACCTCTTGTGTATCCTGAAAAGGGCTCCATTCAAGATGTCATGGGCCTACCTCCAAGGTCAGTAACTGAATCTGGGAAACCTAAACATATAAGGGCTACTTCTTGTGACCTTTCAGCAACTTCTACGCCAGTGGTCACAGTCAGAGGCCCGTGGCCAAAGGTGACCTGCAGATGTATTCTGTTTAGCCTAAAAGGACACTTTTTATAATTTGCATTTGTACGCCTTAGAGGGGAGAGAGGAGAGTGGTAATCTTCAAAGCCACAAGGCCCCTCTTTCCTCAGCCCCATTCACCCCTTTAGTCTCCTACCTGGCCTCTGAGGGCATTTGTGTTCCCACCACTGCCACCATTACCACCTCTTCCCATTCAGCTATCTACCAGTTTCAGCCAAAAGCTTAGTCCTTTTCCTAATGCAAGGGAGGCAGGATCTTGATCTCTGCTTCTATGAAGTTATTCACAAGGGAACCACAAAATTGCCTTGTCCCCAGATTGACAGCTTAATGAACATGTTGGCAGAGGGTCTATTTGCATATTGCAGTGTGCTTCAGGTAAGAGGTCCCTTATAAATGAAACAATAAGAGGCACTTACACTGCAAAAGAATGAGATAGAGATGGCCAGGATTCTCTGAATAGCCATTCTGCTCATTTTAAAAATTCAATTTTGCAGTTAAATTAGTTTTTACTCTTCAATTGAATCGCAACAAGGCTTAAAGGGAAAGCATGGAAGCGATTAAAACTAGCATGCCGGCTTCCCAGCTCTGGAGATAGCCTTCCCAGGCAGTGCTGATCTTCACTTGTGGACCCAGAAACTTGGCTCTGACATGAACCTGTAGGCTTAGAGGGTCTGCTAATTCTCTGCTTTTCTATAAACCCCAGATGGCAAGAGTTCCTTAATATGCACTTGAGGATCCTACACGATTATGTTTGGCTGCCCTTTTAAAGAAAAAAGACATTCAAAAATTCAGAGAATGAAAAGAGGTTACATCTTAATGTGAAAGTTAATGAAGGTTCTTCTGGATATCTTGATACCTAAATTGGCTATTAATTGAACAATATTATTGAATGTCCTATCTCTGACACTTTCTGCAATGCCTACCAAAGAGTGGTCCCCACCAAATGCTCATTGATGATAAATGAAGATGATAGTCCAGACCTTGTTGAGAATATAGTCCAGGAGTTTCTAGTCTAAAAAGGGAAAGATAATTATAATAAGAACATATGAATATAATATGATAATAATTAAGTGGAAAACCATTCTAGAGGAGGTAAAAGTATATTACCATGTGTGTTCTGACCCTCCAGCTTTGAGCATTAGAGAAAAGGAAGAGGGGAAGCTTTCTACCTATGCCTTGAGTAGTAAGTAGACCCTAGAAGGAGTAACACAGACGATATTCAGATGGTTAGAACAGCAGGCACCATTATAGAAAACATAGGTCTTGAATAGGCAACTTGGAATAAAGACTTAACATTTTCCAATCTGTACCTTCAATTTGCTCAATAATTCTGTTTGTACACTTCTCTTCCCAGTGTCAAAGCATCTAAACCAAACCAAGTTGTCTTGGAACAAAGATGGCATTATCCACGGAGTCAGATATCAGGATGGGGATCTGGTGATCCAGTTCCCGGGTTGGTACTTCATCATCTGCCAACTGCAGTTTCTCGTGCAATGCCCAAATCATTCCGTTGACCTGAAATTGGAGCTTCTCATCAACAACGAGGCCAAAAAACAGGCCGTGGTGACAGTGTGCGAGTCCGAAGTGCAAACCAAAAACATATACCAGAATCTCTCTCAATTTCTGCTGAATTACCTGCAGGTCAACACCACCATATCAGTCAAGGTGGATAAATTCCAGTATGTGGACACAGACACCTTTCCCCTTGAGAACGTGTTGTCCATCTTCTTATATAGTAGTTCAGACTGAACAGTTTCTCTTGGGCTTCAGGAAGAAAACAACTCTCTATAATACAGTATTTCGTCCATCCAAACACTTGGGCAAAAAGAAAACTTTACACCAAGACTGAAACCACAAAGGATATTAAATAGTATACATCTCCTTCTGTCTCTTGGAAAGATATAACTCCAGGGTTAAAAAGAGAGTTTTGAGTGAAGTTATCTTTCAGATAGAGGGCAGGGAGGCAATGTAGTGTGGTAGACAGAGCCCCACAGGGGACGCAGAAGGGATGGATGTATGCCCCAGCCCAACCACTAATTCACAGTAGGATCTTAATTCATTTCTTCTGTTTTGAGAGCCCTCAGCTAAATTGGGGTTCCAGTCCCAGAGCAGCTAGCAACCCTCCCCTAATGGGAAATGAAGAGGAGCTGGATATGGGTACTCACAGTGTGCCTTTCACAGGGTACTTCTTTTATCTGGTGGATGGCCTAATTCTTGGCTGTCCAACCCGAGACCAGGGAGTCCCTCACACAGGAAACTTGTTTATACTGGCAGATGCCCTTGTGGCTTCTGTCTAACCTGTGTCCAGTTTATGCCTGCCTGACCATCGCTCTGGCACTGGGAGCCTGCTCTTATGTCCCCCGCCCCAGCCCTCTGTAGCTCTGGAGAAAACCCAGCCTGGGGCAGCCCCTGGTCCTTCAGATGGAAGGCACAAATTCAATACTCCACCACAGTGGAAAAAAGTTCAAAGATTTATTACTTATTGTGACCTCCTTCCCCGGGTCACATGAGGCAGGAATGAAGAGTCAGGCAGAGAGAGAGAGAGAGAGAGAGAGAGAGAGAGAGAGAGAGAGACAATCAGCAATACATTTAAGGATGTAGGATGTGAGTCACTCTAAGTTTGCAGGCAAATGCCCAAATGGTCCATTTAAAGGAAGCCACAGGAATTGGGGAGCCCAGTCTGCTAGGACGGAGAGATGCCTCCAAGTTCCTATCTCTGGCCACCAGCTTGAGCCATCGGGTGTGCTGTACAACTGGAAACTGTGTCAAGGGCAACTGAGCCCTGCTTCTGGTATGAGAAAGTTAAACTTGTATTCAAAATGTATGCCAAGGCAACATAAAATCATAAGAATCCACTACACTTTTCCCTCCCTGGAACTCAGGATCCAAGTCTAAAAAATGAGAGCACTGGATTTGAATCTCTCCAAGTCTCTTCCATCTCAAAAGACCAGACCTGTGGGTTGAGATTCCAGGCAGAATTCTGGAAGCCCCCAATCAGAAGAAGGCCCCACACACCAATGTAAAACCGATGGCAGTAGTAGCATCTGGCTGCACATCAGTCATGTCAGCAGAGTCAGAACACAGGGCGCCTTGCAGAATGGTACAAAATGCAGGATCTAAAAGATGTAATGGAAAGAACTGTCAGAGTGGCCATCGGAATCTAAGAGGCCATCTGGGTATTTGAGAAACCATCTGACCAGGTCTGACTCTATTCTAGCTATGTGGGACAGTAAGTAAGCAGCAGTTTTCGTATCGTGTCAGGAAAGTGCCATGCATTCAACCATCAGCATGCAATGGTCAAGGTGATGTGGTCATTTATCCAGGGAATAGCTGCTACCATCCTCTGCATGATGTACTCCTGCCTCAAACATCTCTCAGAAAGCCAGTTCTGTGGAGAGTTTTTAATTCCCCACAAAGTTGTTGACAGACAAAGATAACCTCAAAAATGGGGCAAAGGACTTCTGAGAAATGGCAACCTACTCTCCTGATCTGGGTAGCCATGAGATTTCTCTAGCTACATCACACTTGGCACGTCTTCATCATCTTTGGAGGAGCATTTTATTTGTCAAAGGATTTTGACACACCACTTGAGTTGAAGTGTGAGTTCCTGAGGTTATGCTTCACTAAGAAAAGACAGACCCTTAGCCACTATGCCAGAGAACAGAGCAAAATTTTCATTTTTCTCAAGAAGGAACACAGAAAAGAAAAAAAGTAGCAATCCAGCAAAGTTTGCAGAAAGAGGCTAGAAAAGATTTAAAAGAAAACATCAGGAGTGGTGGTGTGAATGAGCGGCACTCGCGAGAACACAAATGGCGGGAACATGTTAAATCATTTGCTGAGCAGTGTGCTCTATCCGCCTCCTTCTGTGAGGTCTCCTCTATGAAACATTCAGTAAAGTCTAAATTTCTCTTTAACTCTTTCTGTGAGTAGATTCTTTGGGAGGAGTGGGCATTGGAAGAGGTGTTGAATCCAGCCAGCCAAATGGTATGTGGTCAAAACAGAGACAGGTTTTGAGGACTCAAAGCTAGAGAATAGGGGAACATCTGGCGTTCAAGTTACACACTAACTGTGTAGGACAAAGGAATCTTGCTTAAATCAACAGATGCATTCTTGAAAAGGTATATGCAACCAGAGGATGTGTAAACTAAGCCAAGTTTCTACTATCTCACATTCTAACTTGAGAAAGATTCCATTTTCATTTTTCACCAACCGTCTTCTGAGCAGAGGTACCTGATTTTGCACTGCAAGTGGTTCCTAATCTCAGTCTCTGTGAAGCAATGCTCAGAAAGCCAACACCTAATGATGCAAGAGGTACATTATTTAAATGAATAGTATAGCAAAACAAAAAAATGAAAAAGAATAATTGTTAAAAATTCAACTGATAGATACATAGGGAGTGGACAACCCAGGAGGTTTAAAATTAAATTCTGTTACTATTGAAGGTTAACCAGCCTCACTCTTGGAAATGTGAGCAGATACCATCTATGCAAGTAAAACAGATAATTCATCTAACTGAAGCCCAGGCTACACAAACATATTCATCTTTGTTAAAAACTCAACTCCAACTCTTCCCCCCACCCCCGCCACACACATGCACTCACTATACTTGCATAACTTTTAGAGGAAGAAGATGAGTAAGTCGATGAAAAATAACTGCCCCTGAAAAAATTCACACGACTTTCTTTTTCCACATTTGGTAACTTTGTCTTCACTTGGTCTCTCCATTACCCAGACACATCCTATAACTGCATTACCTAATTCCTTCTCAGAATCCCCCAGTCACATAAAGGATAGCTCAAAGGACAGCCCAGTGCCCTGAGAGGTTTTGACATGAGCAGGCACTAAAGGGAGGAGGTGCTAAGGGAAGTTGGGCAGAATTTACCAAACAAGGGAGCCTTCCAGAATTCCTGGAGTCCCACCTACTCTGGGACAGGGGAACAAACTCCTTAAATTAAGAGGATAGAGAAGTCAGCCAGCATCATCTCTGGAATGATCCTGAGAGATCCGCTAAGCCTAATGGAAGTCCTGTTGGATGGAAGCCCAGTGGGAAGCACACACTCACCCAGTCCTCACATGTGGTTAGCGAGAGTGCTGGGATTTGGACACAGCCTCCCATCTCCTAGCTCCATGACTTCCCGACAGGCTTTATAGGGCTTCTCCTGTAGCCTTTCTGTAATTCCTCAGGTCGTGTCTTTCCAGCCCTATGGTGGAGCAGTCCCCAGCATTTAGAGATTTCCCCTGCTCTTCCCTGCCACTGCCCTAGTCACTCCAGGGTCATCATCTAACTGGAGACATGGATGGCTCCTATCTCCTAGATTCAGTGTATGATCAGTACATGGTTCAGTAAAGGGTTAGGAGCCCACAACATGAAAGTTCTGTCTCTCAGAAACTGAAGATACATATGATAAAGCCAATATTTTTTTTCCAATAAAAAAATTAAAAGCTTGTTTTAACTTGAAGTTATGCATATATGTGTATGTATATGTGTATACATATATATGTGCATATGTATGTGTCTATGTAGATGGGGGGGCGCTTTCCCCTAGTAGTTGTTTTACAGGTCATCTGCTTAACCTGGAGGAAGGAAGTCTAATTCTCACTCTGGGCATTGCAAACTTCATATATGCTTGTATTTATTTTTAATTATAAAAAGAACAGAAAATATTTCTCCCTTGTAGCTTATTAATGTCTATTAATATTTTACTATGTTTGTTTCTGCTTTTTTAAAAAAATAAAATTATACAGATAAAGTTAAAGTCTTACTCCTCTCTCCATTACCCTGCTCCCATTCCAGAGATTACATAACCACTGCCTGGAAATTTGTGTGTTCCCTTCACTTACAGAATTTTACACTTGTGTTCACATAAGATTATGTAGTATAATTTCATGTGATTTTTAAAACTTCAATAAATTATATCATACTTTGTAAACCATTTGTGACTTGAATTTTTTCATGTAATATTAAGTTTTTGAGATCTATCGAGACTGATACATGTAGACCTAGCTCATTCATTTAACTGCTATATATTTCACTGTTTGAATATACCATAGTGTGTCCATTCTCCTACTCATGAACATTTAATTTGATTTTAGGTTTTTGCTATTACACATAATGCTGCAATAAGCACATCTTGTACAACTCCTACCCCTTGTTGCCATTTTTCAATACAGCAGAAATACTTTTGGAAAATTATAAATGATGCCCCAAATGATGTTACCCATGGCTAGTAAGGGTTTAGACCCCTCTATGATCATAGCTCATGACCTGGAGTCTCTGGAATCTGAATGGCTTTTTCCACCCTTTCTAAGTACTTCTCCGCTCTGTTTATCTATTCAACACACGCATCCTGAGTGCCAGTGGGCACCGGGCCCCATGCTAGGTGCCAGTTTACAATCCAGCATGGCATGTGCGACAGCTCTGCCAGGCTGCTACAAAACCAGCACTAGTTAGCACGTGCTTGAAACTATCCCTTTCCAATGCCTCTGGGGCTTCCCTGGCTCCAGCTTTCTTCCTGGAGAGTAAAATTAAAAACACCAGAGTGGATGAAGGACAAGCACAACCTCAGAAGGAGATTTCTCCCCCGAGATCAAACTCCCATGTTCCTCGGGTTCTGTCCCAGACCTCTTTCTCTTCACACTCCACATGCTCCTGAACTTAATCCACTCCCATGGCTCCAAATGACACCTTTCTGCCAAAGTGAGCAAAATATATCTCCAGCTTTGACTTTCTCCTGAAATCCAACCCCACAGACTCAGCAGCCATTGAGCTCTTCCCATAGTTCCCTCCTGAGACCCTGCAGTGGGAGACTGGCATTCAACATATAGTGCAGGAGCTTTCCAGGTGGTTTTGTTTTGTTTTGTTTTGTTCTCACCATGACCCATAAGCAATGTCCTATGTTGCCAACAAAGACTAAGGAA